CCACCCTGCCCTGGGGCTGCCCGCTGGCAGAACAGCCCCTCAGATCTGCTTCCCGGGAAACGCAAGTGTGAGAGGGAGCCGGGGCTGGCAGCAGCGGGGATGAAGCAGGGGAATGTCCTGCTTTGCCTCCAGTTTATGCCTTGCTTTGACCCTCAGGAGTTCATTCTGTCGTGCCTGACCCTCAACCCAGACAAGCGACCGACAGCTAATAACCTGCTCTTCCACCGCGTCCTCTTTGAGGTCCATTCCCTGAAGCTGCTGGCAGCACACTGCTTCATCAACAACCAGTGTGAGTAACCGTGAGACCACCCTGCCCCATTTGAGCTTGCGCTGCTGCCCCAGCAGAGCTGGGGATGTGCAAGAGCCTGGCGAGGACGGCAGTGACTCAGACCTTCCTGGGGTCTGTGCTGCGGAGTCCACGTTACGGGACCTCCCAACTGACAGCCGCTTTCTGCCTTTGCCCTAGATCTGATGCCAGAGAATGTGGTGGAGGAGAAGATAAAGGAACTGGACCTGAACATGGTGATGGCAGAGATCCGGAGAGGGGGTCGGCCTGGAGCACAGTGGAGGTGAGGATGAGCCGAGGAGACTTCAGAGCAGCCGTAGCTCCAGGACTTGCATCCAGGCTGGCGATCCTGGTGTCACGGCATAGTAGTCCTTCACACTGCTCTTCTCTCCTGCCTTCCCCAGTAATCCTCCTGTCCTGTTTCTTTCCCAGGTACTCGGAGGTCTCCTTCCTTGAACTCGACAAATTCTTAGAAGACGTCAGGTGGGTTGAAGGTGGTGCTGGCTGACCTGTAATGTGTCTGCCCAGCTCTGGTCCCCAGTGCCTCTGCCTTCAGCTCCCTGGGCAGCGTGGAGCCAGGGTGAGGGGACGGTGCTGCAGCAGGCGTAGCACATCCCCATGGCACAGCAGAACCTGGTTGTGTGTGACCCCCTCTGCGGTTCCCCCCCGGGGCGAGCAGACCTGGGCTGCAGCGCCAGAGCGAGGGGAGCTCTGTGGCTGCCACCTCCTCACCGTGCTGCCGGCTCTGCCACTCCACGGGCACAGATCCCTGGCCTGGGCCATGGCCGTCCACAGCTGACCTTTGCCAGGGCTGTAAGAGGACAGGGCTCAGCTGTTTGTCCTCCCTCTGTGTCTGTACCAGGAATGGGATTTATCCCCTGATGAACTTCGCTGTTTCCAGACCCCACGCCCTCCCACGTGCACTCTCCCAGCCCCAGGAGGACCCTCAAAAAGCCAAGACTCCCACCCCAGAGCCCTTTGATGTGGAGACCAGGAAGGTAAGGTCAGATCCAGGTGGGGACAGACTCTCCACTGGCAGTAGGTGGACGGTCTCCATTCCTGACACCCTGCTGCAGGAGTGCCTCTCCCTTTAGCCACACACTGAATTCCAGCCCGGGTGAGGGCTGCCCCAGGACTGCCACAGCCCCTTTGGCTGGAGCTAGTGAGGTTCCACTTCACCCGAGACCTTCTGGAGCAGCCCCATGGCCTCCCATTCTTTGGCTCTGCCTTCCCTCCTCGCACGTCCACCGGCAGCTCTGTGGCACGGCGTGTTCTGCGCCTCGTTGCTGGGGTGTAGGTTTGAAATCCCATCGTCGTTTGGTATTGACACTGCATCGGCATGCTGAGATGCCAGCTGAGCTCAGGCCCTGTTCTGCCTGGCACTGCACAGGCGAAACTGCGTGTCCCGACACAGAAGTCGTGGGCAGGAGGGTCATTGCAAGGGGGTTTAGGAACCCCTGAGGGGAGTGGAAGGGGAGCCAGGCAGGGAGGGCAGCAAAGGACGGACACGATGCAAGGGTGTTTGAGCAGAAGTGAAGCCTTCCAAAACCATGGTGTAATCCGTCGCTGAACAGAGCAGACCCCGCCATGGGCATGGGCGGGCTGCCGTCACAGCTCCCCAAAGCCTTCCCTTCTCCAGGCTGAACAAGCCCCTCAGCCTCTTCTCAGAGGGCAAGCACTCCAGCCCGGGGTCATTGTGATGGCCCTCCATTGAACTTGCTCCAGTTCATCAATGCCTTTCTTGTTCTGGCAGCCCAAAATCAGATGCAGTACCTGGAGGTAGTTTAACAAGTGCTGAGTAGAGGGGAATAATTATTTCCCTCTGTATCCTGGCCGTGCCCCAGGACGCTGTTGGCGTCCTGCCTGCTGCCCACCATGACCCCAGAGTCTTTCCTGCCAGCCAGGCCATCCCAGCCCGTGTCCTCGCCAGGGATTATCGCTTCCCAGGGGCAGGAGGTGGCATTTGTCCTTTTGCTGACATGCGTATGAGGAGACAAGGTTGTTGGCCACTGTCATCGGGGCATAGCTCAGGCACGGCACTTCTTACAACGGCTTCTGTCCCCTGCACTGCTGGCCATCGCTGAGAGCGGTCAGAGGAACTCGTCGGACTGTGTGCGCCTCTCTTTCTTAAAAACCCATTTGGTACCTGTTATTTCCCCGTGCGAGTATTTCCCTTTAATGACACTCCTAGTCATTCATCATTAATCACCTACAGCACTGTCTTTGTGTCACCGTGGATGATATGAATGCACTTTCGTACTTGCATTGAATTAGTGTTCAAAATACTACGTAGGGCTAAACCTAATTCTTATTCCTGAAAGATCCCGTGAAATGCCTCCCTTCAAAAAGTAAATCAGCAGTGGTTCCTTCATATGTGCCTGAGAATCAGCTTTCAGTGCACTTAACTTATGCTTTATTCATACTGCTCAGTGCTTATTTTTAGTGAGAGTGCTGCGGTGATCAGTCAGATACATTAGAGAAATGTGAATGTAAACCTACGCAGTTTTGTCTTTTCCCCTCTTTGCATTTGTTATATGCTGCTTTTTCACCTATTGCCCCCAGAAAAGTTCTGCACATGCATTGTCCGTCTGACCAATGCGTTCAATTAGTTCTTACCCAATTTGACAAAGGACTAGTAATCTCAGAAGCCCTGAGTTTCTACAGATTTCATGGGAACTTGCACCAGGACAGACCTGCGAGTCCCAAATGTGTGTAGCTACAATGCAGATTCTGTGTCTCTTCTGGGAGGCACTGGAATACGGATGCTGGATGGATCCAAGGAATTTTTTTTCACGGTGAGGGTGGTTAAACAGTGGACCAGGGGCTAAGAGAGGTTATGGAATCTCCTTGGAGGTTTTCAAAACCCAAGAGCTCTAAACAGCCTGGTCTGAATTCACTGTTTGTCTTGTTTTGAGCGGGGGCTTGGACTAGAGACCTCCTGATGTCCCTTCCCACCTCAGTGATTCTTTGATCACAGGAATCAGGTGGAGAGAGGTGGGGAGCAGGTGGCAACAATGCACTCAAATGTCACCAGCCTTCTCTTTGATGGTGTCTGCAGGATGCTGCACAGTTCAGTGTAATTCAGTATATAAAGCAGCATGTGGCCAGACAGTGCGCTGGCATCGCTCGGTGTAATAACAGCCACGCTGCTCGGCTCTTCTTGGAGAAACGGATGGCCTGGAGATGATCAAGGTCAGAGGAGAGCGAGTTTCCTAACTGAGAGCGATACATGCCCGGTGATGTTTGTCATAGGGAGGAGCTGTAGGAGAGGGGTCCTGGGTCAGAGGAGAGAACAAGCACTTCACTCACCTCTGAGCATAAGCTTGAAATCGAGGAATATAACTGAAATGCTGCATTAAACTCTGCGTGGAACAGGGATGTGGATTCCTCACTTGGTTTCCTGTCTTTTGGGCTGACCGATCGCATGCTCTCTCTGGCTCTTCTCTGCCCAGACAGCAGGACTTCTGGTCTCAACCATTTTCGTGGGAACCTGAAGCTGACATATTGAAGCTTGAAGCTGACCCGGTTCCTTCATAGGAACTTGAAGCTAACATAGTAATAAAATGCCATATTTGTCTAACACATTTGAATATTCTGTGATGCAATGTGGCGTTTCCAAAAGAAAATCCGTATGTCATTTTAATAATATTCAAGATTCTGGTTTTGCTCTTTTGTCTGATTTAAGGATCGGTCATCCCAGAAGGACATGAACAAGTACAATATTAAAACGTAACCAAGCCTTTGGGAAGAGCTCTAGGGGAAGCCTACCCTTGGCAAATGGAGCAGAAGAATTCATCCTGGTTGTAAAGTTTTCCCAGAACCGCGCCTTGCGCAGGGCTCCCTTCCCACCTCTCCGTCAGCTGGCAATGGCCGTGGTTCGTAGCTGGATACCGGACTAAATTAACCCTCAGCTGCTCCACCTGGACAATTCCTAGAAATGTGGGCAGAAGTGGAAGGTCAGGCTGGCAGCTGGAGTTAAGGAGGTTAAGTAGGAATTTGAAAGTCATGCCTGGAGAGCAGAGGTAAAGCAGGCCTGGGGGAGCCAGAGGGACCGTGTCCAAGCTGATGTGGGTTTTGCCCTCTTCTAGGTGGTGCAAATGCAGTGTAACATGGAGCTGAATGAAGACAAGACCCAGTGGCACGTAAGTATTCAGCTCCTATTCTACACGAGGCACTGGGGCAAGACCTGCTCTCTGTACCCATCTCTGCCATCTGACCGGGAAAAAGTTTGGTCTCGGCTAGTTTGCTGCAGTACCCAAAGGACTTACTCATGTCCCTTTATAATAAAAGAAGCCCAAAGAAGACCGAAGCCACCAGCTGCCTCTGGCTGCAGGACAGGAAGATCTTGGTATCTTTCTCTGGACATCTTTTAAATCTACTTCTTTCTAGTTTAACCGTAGCAGGTGAGCCGTAACTGTTGAGAGAACATTCCTCTAGGACACTCAAACTACCCTGCCAAAGACATCCAGCATCTCGGCAGTCGCCGGCATCCTCCCTGCTCACCACTGCCGGCAGTTTCTAGTGCTGACGGAAGAGTCAGTGCCGTTCTCTCTCACGGAGACACTGGTGTTTGTAAAGAGCACTCTCTTCTTTCTGCAGCTTACTCTTCTGCTGATCCTGGAGGACAAATTGCACCGACAGTTGAGCTACGACTTGCTGCCCAGTAGGTTTACTTGCAAGTAAATTTTTTGTGTGTGAATGCAGAAGTATTGCCTGGTGGCCCTGGTCAGGTTTAGGCTCGGATTGTGTTAGACACTGATGGTGTTTACAGCCAGCTTTTCTTTCCTTCTTGTACTGGGAGAGCAGACTAAACCCTAGTATCTATGTGGTACCCGTTCTTGTCCGCGCCGACCCTGAGCTCGCGGCCTCTGGCATGTGGTGGTAACCTCCACGCTAAAGTGAACGTTGGGAGTCCAGTGAGTGGCCAGCAAGACCCTGCATCTCACCCTGGGACGTGTGGCATGCAGTTCTCGGGGTAACACCAGTGAGGTCTTCCCTCCTTCCCAACACTGGTGCAGTCTCCGCAATTCCTTCCAAAGGAGAAGGTGGGCTCTCCCCTGAGGGAGCCCCGCGGCTCTGGGGAAGGGTGCTTCTCCGCCGAGAAGGTCCAGCCCAGCAGGCTCCTTCCTAAAACACACAGGAGCCTTCGGGAGGCCATGCAGCTGCAGTCCCTCGACTAAAGCGTGACGCTTGGAAATCAGTGCTTGGGACTTGCTGCTTCACCAGCTCCTCGTGTTTTTCTGCCTACAGGTAGTGGCCTGCCTGCTCTTCACGCTGAGCCAAAACAAGCAAAAAAAAGTCAGGCACTTTGCCAAGACTATTGTGCTTTGTGTGATCTGGGACTGGAGCTCCCTCCTGCCCGGTACCTCGCTCGGCTCCAGTTCAGTGCCCACCTCTGAGCTGTGTGCCCCAGGGTCACTTAGCAGTTCCTTAGCCGCCCAAAGGTATACAGCATCTGCCCCTAAAGCGTAACGAAGCGTCGGGCAGGTGTGCTGTGGGCTGGGATAGGGGCACTTCAGGGGTGGAGGAGGCACCAAGAGATGCACGAACGTTCACGTTCTCACCGTTCCTTGTCTCTGCAGCTGATAACTCCAAGGACTTGGCCACGGAGCTGGTGCACTATGGATTCATCCACGAGGTAAGCCTCCGCGCCACCCCTCCCCACCGCAGTCGTGCACGCGCCGTGCTACTGCAGTCCCCAAATCCGTGTGACGCCTCGTGCCGCAGAGGAACGAGAGCTCCTGCCTTCCCCATCTGGCAGCCAGAGAGGGGTCGCAGGGGCCAGCCCCTCGCAGTCAGTGACGCTTCCTTTTTTCCTTGGGTTTTTTTCCTCCATACTTTGCTCATGCCTAACTCCAGGTAGCTGTTCCGAGGGGACAGCCGTATTGCGACGGCAGGGTTAATTACATCAACCTCGGAGTGTGAGAGCCAGAGGAGTGCCAAGGGAAGGACGCAGAGGCCCCCTCTCCCCTCTCCCAGAGGAATTGTCGCGGCTCTTAATGCACTTTGCAGATTTCTGCCTGCCCCAGCATCGCACTGCCAGGCTCTCCCTTAGGCGTTTGCAGACAGTCCCAAGAAAGAATTCAGAGCAGCCCCGTCACTCAGACTACCAGGCAGCGTAGCCTCGAGGAAAGGCAGCATAGAGAGAATTAAAAGTATTTTTATTTTTATTTTGTTCAAGTTAGGAATTCTGGGGCTGTAGGCAAAGTTTGGGCGAATTCCTCATTCTGGATGGTGACATTAGACAAGGAAGGGGTCAGCTTCACTGAGTGAAAAATTTACGTGAGTACACCTGGAAAAAAGTACGTTTAGGTTTTCTTCCTTTCTTCACCTGAGCATGGCGACTGCGCAGCTCGGCACTGACACGCTGCAGTGCTTTCTCCTGTGCTCTGGAAAATCCGTGGCGTTTGGGGCAACCCAGTATGTAGAACATCCCGCACACAGGTCCCTGTTCCACGGACTGCAAATTACCTCTCTCTTTCTTTCTCCTAGGAGATAACCTCCTTTTAACACATCTTCCCCTCTCTAACATCTTCCCTACTCCACAAGTACCGACAACCTTTTCTGTCAGGTGGCATAACTGATTTATACCTCGTTAAACTCGGAGCCTGTATTGACCTTGGAAGTACACTGCTTGTCTCTGACCTGAGGGACTTGTGTACCCAAATGCTCGTTCGCTTTCCCAACTGTAGTGGTTGGTCTAACAAAAGATATCACCTATGCCTTACAAATCCTGTCTTCAAAATCCGAGGTTTTTCTTAAAAGGAAAGGAGTAATTTAGCAGCAGTAGTGACAAAGGAGTGCCTCTTAAGCAGCAAGAAAACAACAGCTGCTGCGTTTTTCATTTCAGTGAGAATTTTGAGTTTATTTCTGGCAATCCCAAAACCCATCTATGATACAAGGTGGGGGTGTTTTGCATCCTTTATATATCATTGTGTACTTCAGTAATTTCTTTCTTAAGGAATAAACATTCTAATTATAGTACAAACCACCTACTCCTGAATGTGTCAGAAAAGAGATTTCTGTACAAAATAGTTGCCAGACCAACAAGAAGTGACATAAATATTAATTTTTGTTAGCAAGTGAGGATATTATAAAACAGATGGCCACAGAAAATAACTTTAGATCCAGCAGTCAGTTAATTAAGTTGAAATTAAATGAAACAAAATAAGCTGGACCTGTTATGTTCCGTCACATTGGAAGCTCCAAAGAACTGTCTGCTCTTTTGCCTCTATATTGCACCTGGCACAAAAAGGCTCCATTGTTGGTTGGTCATTTGGCCTTGTTCAGTAAATATGATAATAATTAGTAGTAATTATCACAATAATTAGCTTGCAAGTTGTTCTCTTCCCATATCAAAACTCAGATGTGAAGTCGGTGGCTTGGGATACGGGATCATGTAAGGAAGGAGACGTCCAAGGTAGCCAAGCCAAATTGATCTGTGGGCATGTTTTTTCTTTTATTTCAGGACGACTGTGAAAAGCTGGCCAACTTCCTGGAAAATGCCTTCCACAAATACCGGTCTCCTCCCTTGTGAGTCACCTCACTGCAGTCTGGGACAGAGTGGTCCCCCTGTACCGCCGGGCAGGGGAAGTGTACCGGACTGGGGGAAACTGCGGGGCTCCTGACCGAACTTCCTCCAGCGGGACTGACCGGGCCACTCGCTCCCGACTGAACCCTTGCAGTCCATGAGAGGTGTATGCCTGAGCTGTGGTGTGGAAAGGCAACAGCAAGTGGAGGAGTAATCGGCAAACACAAGAAATTACAAGTGCATCATGAGAAGTCGGGACCAAGCAGGAGCACATGTTCTGGTCCCCGCTCCTGAAGCAACAAGCCAAAGGGAGTTGTGAGGCGTGGGGGAGTGGGGTAGCACCCCCTGCAGCCCCTTCCCAAAGGTGTTTGTGAAGATGCAAAGCTGCTGCAAGAATCCCCCAAACTGATCGGTTTGCCTCTGGGAATGATAAGCTTTTTTTTCACTGCAGGTCCCAAAGCTATTTTGCCCCTCTTTGCCAGCTGGTAATACTTGCAGAAGGGAGGAGAGGAGCAGGCTTGGAAAGCTCTGGCGCAGTTTCTGATCTGCCACATTCCATTCTTTATACCCAGTTTCTCCTGTTTGGTTAAGGTTTCCCCAGCACAGATGAGCCACTTGTAATTAGAATTTTACACCTTGGTGTAAGCTGAACAGAGGACTTTGTGAGCTGGATTTGATATGGCATGAGAAGAAATCCCAGAAATCCAAACCTACCAGCTGGATCCAAGTATGTGGATCAGCGGAAACCTCACTGGTGCTGAACAGAACCCTTATTTCCCAGTTTGTCTTATGCCTTCCAAAATCTCACAGCATCTTAAGGGGAAAACCCCTGATGTCGCTTCCTTCCCTGTTTCTCCTGTGGTGTTTGGAACTTCAGTGGTTAGCCTGGAGAAAGGGGCAATCATCTTAGCTGCTGCGCACATCAGGTTCAGTTGGTGAAAAGTGCAAACAGGAATTACTTGTGCTGCAAAAGCCATGCCGTGCTGCTCCATGCCGTTCATGTTGTGCCGTGTGGAACCAGCTGTATCACGTTGTGCTGTGCCGGTGTTCTGCGCTGTGCCGGGTCCTCCGTGTGGAACTGCCTGCGTTACGCTGCCCGCGCTTTGCGGTGTTGTGCCAATTGTATCGTGCCGGGCTGGGTTTGCCGTGCTAGGATGCTATGCTGAGCTGCCAACTTGTGCTTTATTTCCCAGTTGTGCTATGCTGTGCCAACTTTACAAACTGACAAATCAATAAAGCCACTGAAAGTAGCTTCTCTCATCAGAGCACTCCACTCACCAAACCGCTCAATAATTTCTTAGTGACTCTTACAGTTAAACTCAGAAGATGTGAAATAGCTTTCCTGAGTTCAACAGACTTGTCCACAAGGTCAGGCAAATTGGGTAGGGAAGGAATTCAGTGGAGAAACATCATACAGCTGCTTGATTCAGAAATCCCTCTTACTCCAGAACAAGTTTGCACTTGGCTCTGCAAACTGAGAGATTCCTTCATATACCAACCGCTTCATTTCCCTGATGAGCTAGTTAACTCTTCGTTAACACATTTCACCCCACTGAATTCGTTGTTTAACATTGTCACAGCTCAGCTTGGCCAATAGATTTCCCTGCTACTGGCTGTGCTGCGCTCAGCAGTGATGGGTTCATGAACCAGCTACTGCAGGGTCTTTCCAAAGCACGACAGGCTGCTCTCACGGAATCACAGAACAGTTGAAGTTGGATGGGACCACTCGAGATTTCAGGAGGTCCCTTCCCACCTCTGCAATCACCTAGTCCAAGCCCCCTGCTCAAGCAGGGTCAGCTAAAGCACGTTGCCCACAACCACATCCAGTCAGGTTTGAGTATCTCCACAGATGGAGCCTCTCTAGGCACAACCTGTTCCCGTGTTCAACCACTCTCACAGAAAAAAACAATAAACACCACGTTTTTCTACGTTCAAATGGAATTTCCTTTTTCAGTTTGTGCCCACTGCCTCTTGTCACTGGGCACCACTGGGGACAGCCTGGGTCCATCTCCTTTACCAGGTGCATTTGCACACATTGATGAGATCCCCCTGAGCCTGCTCTTCTCCAGGCTGAACAGCCCCAGCACTCTCGGCCTCTCCCACCACAGATGCTGCAATCCCTCCAGCATCTCGGTGGCCCTTCACTAGACTCGCTCCAGAAAGTCCGTGCCTGTCTTGTCCTGGCGTTGTCCGAAAAGCGGATTCGTGCCCAGCGTGCAATAAGGCAATTCCACTCACTCAGGAGAGATATTGTGTTTATTCAGGCCTGGGTACTTGGTGGACCATTCCACAAATCAAGCACACCAACGGCAAGTCACGGTGTTCCTTTTATACACAAAAATCATGGATCAGTATTTTTCCATACGCACCTACTCACTAGATTGGTTAGTGATTGACATATGATTACATAGTAACTTCTGTAACTATCCATGCTCAGGGGAAGGGTCTTCACCTGGGCAAGGGTCTTCTTGACCTGTGGGTGTGATTTTTAGTGTTATAATGAAGGCAGGTTACTACAGGACACCTTAAAAACTAATTTCATTGCCAAGTTAGTTAATGGAATGGTCACTTTGCCAGGTTGTCGTATAACTCATCCATGTTCAGTAGCTTCACACAATCAGTTCCAGGTGCTCCCATCCATTTCCAGGACTTTACATACCCTAACTACCTTCATGAATCTCTTACTGTTAAAGTCATCTTGACCAAGATTCAAAGCCAGATGTATCAATTTGACAATACAATCAGGTAGAACACAGCTTTTTATACCAATAGTTTGTTACTCTGCTATCACTGGGGAGCCCAGCACTCCAGATGTGGCCTCAGCAGTGCTGAGCAGAGGAAGGATCAGTCCCCTCAAGCAGCTGGCAAGGTTTTCCCTGCTGCAGCCCAGGATGATGTTGACCTCCTTTGCCGCAAGGGCGCATTGCTGGCCGACGGTCAGCTTGGCGTCCAGCGGGACGCTTATCCTTCTTCGCAAAACTGGCACCAGCACTAGAATGGAAATCCTGCCCCCACACTTGCAAGTCAGACACGACTCTTTGGAGTCCTGTCCTACAGGAAAGGGGATGTGTCCTCAGACAGTCAAAAGCCCAATCAGCTAATTAGGATTGTAATTCCTGCCCATATATTATAGTGGTGGTATGCATACATTTTCGTAGAGTATCTAATCTTACTTTAAAGATTGCATAATGTAGGAATCCACTATGTCTCAATAATAAAGTTTTCCAGGGGTTAACTGCTGTCACTTAAATTTAGGCTAGAAATAAGGCACACTGTTTTATGTTGCAATTCAGGTATTGTAGCTTTATCTCCTAGATGAAAAGAACTTTTGCAATGCAAGACTTTCTCATCATAACGGTAATTAGATGCTAAGTTATCTTTTAACTGCTTTTGATAAGCTTTATTGGCCTGAACTTTTGAAATCTTTTATAAAATAGGCTTTCAGAATCTGTAAACTTCTAGTAGATTTTCTTAAGTCTTGCATCTCTTCTGTAGTGGGGCCAAGAGGCCACAGTAGTCTTATGGCAGTTTAACTAATTAAGTGCAAGGTGTAACAGCAGATACCTGCGTCCCCTACTAACAGCATTTCCTCGTTAAAGCAGAGCAGCCACCTTGGGAAGTGGTGCCTTTTGGGAGCCCTGTTGCAGAGCAGCACCGCCATCCCCGGTGACAGCGATCACCTGTGCCAGGCTGCCTGACCTCACCTTTGCACTTAGATTTGTATGCAAGAGATCGGACCCGCTTGAAAATAAAGCGTAAAAGGGACAGTGTGGGGACAGTCAAGACACCAGGGCAATGTTTCACCTCAGCAGTTCTCAGCAGATGGGTCCTGCTCTCAAACTGCATATTCAGCAACTACAGATCTCCACAACAGGTAACCGGGGCTCCGTAACTCCGGATGCCCACCTAACGACCAAGGACCTCCCTGTTACAGTCAGGGCCCTCCGTCTGTAGCGCCTCTGGCACGCTACAGCA